CAATTTACAACCTTCTTGGCCTGTTCACGATTCTCTACCCTCCCGAACGGACTTCATATCTTAGCATCGCGAAGTATCTCATTAAAACGGCCCGGGTCCCGGTAGACGGAACAGACCTTTCTGGCACCCGTGCACTATCACATTGCTTCTCTACGAAACCCGGGTTTGACCTTGAGTATGCCCAAATTCTCTACGATGCTGGCGGAGATGTCAACTCTCGTAACCGCTACGGGTCGACTGTCGCACAAGAGATTGCCCAGGTCTACAAGCCCGGCGACCGCGACGCCGTCAGTTGTGCACACGCTGCATTGGGCTGGTTTTTGCGGCACGGTGGCAATATTGATCTCGCCGACGAGGATGGGTTCACTGTTCGAATGACCGTCACGACGCTGCGGAAGATACCGGTGTTGAGAGAAATCACGAAGCTTGTGGACGCGGAGGATGCCAGACGGAGAGCCCTAGGAGATACGTGTTGTGCGACATGTGCACGGACGGGGGAGAGCACGACACTGGCACGCTGTGGGAAGTGCAAAAAAGTTCGGTACTGCCTGCCGGGGCTTCGTGCTTGCCAGGCTTTGCACTGGCCGAAGCACAGGAAGACCTGCAAAAAACTTTAGGCTATCCGGTACGTGCTATCCATTCCGATTTCCTTCCGCCCGCCAACGGAGTCGTTCAGACCAAGAGAACTTCTCTCTAGTAGACCATCTAGATGATTGTCGTTTGGCAACGTTATTGTAATTCCGTGAGTGTGGGATACGGGGACCGGGCGTTTGGCTAACGACTGGACGGTGATCAGGTACTTGTCTTACAGCGAATGGATCTATTAAAGTCTCAATATGAACCGGCCCAAGGAATATCCGCGCACTAAGTATCTCACTCCGCACCCCTTCTACGAAAGCCCGGTACAGTCTTGAATCATCTATGACCATCTATATGCAGCATTCGACTCTTCGAGTCCCACAAAACTTGGAGCTTAGGTGTCTCTCTTCATAGAAGACTTGCCGGCCAAAATCCGGGGTTTGGGCCTACGATGCCGCTGTCACCATCAGAACTTCGATGTTTTCTGCCCTCTTGCGAGAATTCGACATGTGACGTCGTTACCCAGAGCAAGCTTTAAACGTTTGAGTACTGTGGTCCGACACGCCGCATCGTCAGACGGCCTCCGCGACCCTGTCTCCATGAGAAGTACAGTAATTACTATCTTTGAGTGTGCAAACCTTGGACTGACTGCAGGGCGTAAAACTAATCATTGCCTCGTTTCGGTAGTTTTGCCGAAGATGTCTCTCACTGCTGTGACATTTGATCCCCTCCACGACATCTATTGGTTTCGGGCTCTGATTAACCCCAACATGGATGAATGAACGATATCGAGCCTGTGATTTGCAGTGTTCCGTCCCAATGATGTATAAAGATTCTGTCGCCTCAGATTCAAATCGTCTTACCCTCCAACTTGAAACCACGATGCCGGGAAATACACGCAGAGTACTCCTTATCTTAGACGCCCAAAAGGCCGCGCTCTCCCCTCCACCCACGGGAATCCCCTCCTCAAAAACAGTCAGCGGGAACATCACGCAGATACTAGAAACTGCGCGGTCCGCAAACCCACCACCATTGATAATCCACATTCGCACTGCGGGAGATGTGGGAGAGCCCGACGAACCAAACACCCCAGGGTGGGAGCTCGTCAACTCCCCGTTGCCGAACGAGCCAGTGATTGATAAGAAGAAGAACAACGCTTTCGCGGGAACGATTCTCGGGGATCTCGTAGTTTCTGATGCGGAGATCGTTGTTGTTGGATTGCAGTCGGATTTCTCTCTGAGAGCTAGTGAGGCGACTCGCGTTTCTTCTCACTTTGTAGATCCTGATTTCTATGTAGCGTGCAGTGCTGCATTAGATCGGGGTAACGAGGTGTTGATTGTTCGGGGTGCCCATGGGACGTATGATCGCTTAGAAGTACTCTTTGGAGAGGGGACCACTGCAGCGAACGCGGTTGCAGCTGAGACGGAAGCTGAGCTGGAAGAGGCTGGAGTTTACATTTTAGAGATGAAGGATCTGCCGGGTATCTTCAACAATCGGTAGTTTTGCATATTAGGTTTTGGGTATGTGGCCGTGCATTTCTAATAACCGGAGACGTCTAATGGGCTCGGGGGAATGAATCCAATAATATATAGTGGTCGGGAAAATCGTACAAGCACGGTGTTCAATCATGCATCCGACGAGGAGGGCACCTATTCTGGTCCCAATACAATCAATACACAGTCTAAAGGGTTTCCTGCTATCAGTGACAAGTGCCGTAGAACTGTTCGTTGAACCGCCAAACTTTTCTCTAGGGTCACCTGAAATGTTCCCATACACGAAGAGCGATGACGCCTGGCTTCTGGAGCCAAAGACGCTTACGTGCCAGATACATTCCCTGCGATCCGAGCGTCGTTCGAAATGACCCACTTTCCCGGAACGTGGGAGGCAGATTATCGAAGGTGTATCTGACATTCCACTGAAATTATCAACAAATAGTCAACCTTAATATTGATGGCCTCATTTTCGTATTGAACAGTATAGTTGACGACAGTGAAAGCTGTTTATGGGTGAGATGCGAGCGACTGGCGGTACTAGGATGGAGCCAACCGCCAGGCAATCATCGCTTAGCTTTACCACTCGCTTTCAGCTTTACCTTTTGAAGGAACGAATGATAGGAACTTTGGGCAATAATAGCATTCCATGGACGGCCTTCAACTGCCGAGGGCGCGCCTAGTATTAAGGCAGGCACTTTGCACAGCGGTCGGCCGGCAAGTCCCGACAGAGATCGCCGCTATCTTTGCAGCAGGCACACGTTATGTATAGATTCATATCCCTTGGAAAACCATCGTTTCTTAGAATCCTTGAGTCATATATAGCTGACTCGTTTAGATCTTATCTGACAAAGTATCTTAGCGTCCTTTGAGGTCTTCAGGACTATATTCGTTCCAATCAAGTTAGTAACAAGGGTGTGGTCCAAAAATAATGCTGAGCGCCACACCGATGTCACCTCGGCAAATGAGGACAGAAAATCCCGCACTGTTCATCATTATTGAGTTCTACATAGCAGGATCTTTGTATCGGATTTTAATGTGTATATTCTTGGCTGGCTTCCTCCACAAGGCATAACTTTGGTGTGCATTAACTGCTTTGTCCTAGGCTCCTAACACGAAATGGCGGGTCGGCAGCTGAGCTTCCTTCAGTGCTATCAACGCGATACATGCTACACGTGCCGGCAATTTCCAGCGCATCATTCTTTTATTTCCGGCAATTCTGACGGACATGCTGAAACAGTGGTGTTCTGTAGAGCCGTGACAGGCGCCTTAGAGCATGCCAAGGATGGAATGTGCCGCAATGATGTAAGATACTAAGTACGAGGCGGGTATCTCTTCACTGCATTAGCTCCTTCTTAATTGAACGCACGATTCAGCATTTTCAAACGCCTCCGCGTCCTCTCAGGCATTTGGTATGTATTCGTTTCAATGTTTGCGCATTAATGCTCATGATGGTGCTTACAGGGGACCATTCGTGTTCGCGCTCTATTCATCTATGCTTCTCTCTGACTAAATTCTCAACAGTCAGTCAAACTCTAGCCAAGGGTACGTGTGCTCTGTACTGTCTGAAAAGCGACATATATCATTTGGTGCATCACGGATATGTCCCCCGTAGAGGAGCGAACAACACTAGTGGAGGATAAATGGAGGCGTATTGTCTGGAAGTGGGATGAATGGCAACGGAGGACCAACTTCTACTAGCTCTGGCTCTGGTTCAATCGGAGGTGAAAGTCCCTTGGAGACTCGACAATCGGGGGCTCTGAGCCTTCTATCTTATATCTGTTGACCAAAAGTAACTCATGCTCCCTTGCCGTTTGCTATCCTATGCACCATTCTTTACTTACGCGATAGTCTTCTCTTCAGGGCGAGCACGAGCTTCATCCGCTTCCGTCTTGGGAACTTATCCTTCCAGAACATCAGACTGCTCACCGCAATCCGTAGGAAGGTACACCGCAGTGACTTGGCTTACCGTGCTTGCTTGCTTGCGCAATAGACCAAATATAAATCGTTGCTTCAAGTACACGGAACAGTCAAAGCATCGTGCTTCCCATCACCTCTGTTCCCAAAATTTGTTGAATAATTTGAGACATGTATGTTATAGATTTTATAAATGCTTTGGGGAATTTTAGGACCCAACTGACTCTGTTAAAATCGAGCAGTGAGGCAGCTTTGGGAGAGGTTTACCACTTGTCCAATTATCCGTCAAAGAAACGCCGTAAATGATGAATATCTCGGTTGATACCGTTTCGATCCCTTCCATACTATTTACAAACTATTCGGTATGGATATCAGTGGTGCATCACTGAGTAAAATTGAAAACTTCCTATCTACTTTGTTCCAATGTGCTCATATCCTTGCCAATCTCTATTCACTAGTAATTTCGTAAGGAGGAGAGGCCCAGGCCCCAAGAATACGAGCCTCAAGGCTAGGGTTGCGCACGAAACCCCCAGTTTTGATACACCCCGGTTTCGGACCGGTAAGTTACCGGTAAGAAACTGGTAAGAAACCACAGGTCAGTGGAGCATATTTCATTGAGGTAACCTACCGACCACGTGACAATATTACCACCAATCTTTTTATGATTTCACTTCGCAGAGCAGTAATAAGTAAGAAGACACAGTGAAAGTGTTCCGATGGGTATTAGGACAGAATTCATGAGTATTTGAGGTATGACAATGGGGCAGCGTAGCGTCACGGCCTCGTAGAGAAGAATTTGGAAAAATGACTCCGCGGCGGTCACGTGAATGGTCACATGACCGGTAAGAAACTGTAAATTACCGTACCGGTAAGAAACCCCCCAGGTAGGGTGGGTACAAAACGGTATCAAACACCCCCTGGAGGTTTCGTGCACAGCCCTACTCAAGGCTCAAGTTTCGAAAAGGTTCAATCGTAGGATTGGGGAAAAGCCAGCTATTAATATGAAATTCTCATCTCTCTGGCTGGGAGTCGAACCCAGCTTTCGCGCGTAGCTAGACATCTAACACATGACAGGCGCGTGTACTAACCGATATACTACCAGAGAATTTGTAAATATTGAGATAGTGTGTTTAAAATATTATACAACAGCTGATACGCATAAATAAAGAACCGGCGAAATTATGGCTCACCGGTTGAGAAGACGGCTTTCAGCAAAGTTATGAACTTCATCTGGCGCTTCAGCTTCAGCGACATTGGAAGTTCAAACCTCCATAGCAGAGCTGAGAAAGCAGCGCAGGTGTGCCGAATCAAGTTTGAATTGAATGTCAGGTCAGCCCATTGCCGTTATGTTCTGCGAATGTTTTCTCATATGTTACAGGAGGTCAGGACAAAACAGAAGGTACACAGATTTGTACAGAATAATCTACACTTATAACACTGGCTGACGAACGTGGTAGAAAACGAAGGTATCAAAGGAGGGAGGGTGAACTGTAAGGACTGAACTTGGAACGCTGAAAAGCTTCCTATATTCTAATGCCGAAACTCAGAGTGCATGTCCAACAGAAATTTTGCGGACGAGAGGCGGGCGCAGTATCTTAAACGACTGCAATAAAATCAGCGCTCATTCATACCGTCAGACCACGACGGACTCGTACCATTCTGTACCAGAGGCAATTTTCCATCTTCACTCATTTCCTGCCCGCGGCGCGCCTCGTTCTCATCCAAACGCGTTTCCGACAACGGGTCACCAGACCACCCCAGCAACCTTGTCCTCCTTTGGCGCATTTTCATCACCACCAGCACGGCGACGAACAGCACGGTTATTGCTGCTATAATGACGATCAGCGCTGGGGTAGTGGGCGGGGGAGGCATCGTTTGGGTGATGATCTGGCAGGTCAAGAACCATCTTATCCTGGCGGGACATGTGTATCCTGTCACTATTCCTGGGCGATGTGGGACAATCCCCAGGATCTTCAACGAGGGAATGCCGCCGAGTAATGAACGTGGGACCGTCGAGTATTCACTTGGTGGTCATACGCGAATGCCTAGGCGGTTCTCTATCAGCAACTCTTCTCTTTCTCATCGTTTACCGTGTGTCCTCCTTTCTTTCATTGGCTCTCCTTTCCTGTCTTATCTCCCTGACCTTCGGAATATGATGGATGGACAATGCCATGAGAGAGGAAGCCTGCACCAGGCCATTCTTTCGGTCCTCTGACCTTCCGGCTAGTTTTTGAGTGAGCGAGGTAAGTTTCCTTACTATTCCATCTTTTACCAGGGACCCAACGAGCTTCGGTAGATGCTCCGGTCCTACACATGTTAAGGGGCAATCATCGGAAAGGAACGAACCGTACGCCCGAGACTACGGATGGATGTGTTTTTGATTATTGAAAACCTTACAGTGAGCTCTATCACCGTGTCGACCTGAAATATTCTAACGCCGCCCTCAATTAAGGGAGGATCATGGACTCTCGGAACCGGGCCACCCAACCGCAGGCTTAGTCCACAGGAACTTTTCGCGCCTCTCTATCCCAATCACCGACGTCCCTTCACCATATGCTGTGCCTCATTTTCATCGGACTATCCCAGCGCTTTCTGCGACATGCGGCTCCTAGCGTGCAGCTGGGTCGCTGTTAGTACCGGGCACAGCTCAAGAAGGCGCCCTTTTCAGCGGACACCGCTTGAGACGGACATCCCTCCGGGAACAGTCGTCGCTAGCTCACAGCCGTTCGCGTTATCTCGCAAGCTATCATCCGATGGATACCGAACGGACGGCAGGCACTCCAGGAACTGATAATGTTGTTCGTCGCCTCTTCTTTCGACGACCGCACGTTTTTGCGATACAGGCAGGCGCCCCTTGGAATAATGTTCGCACATAGTGTATTCAGTCGGTGTCTTTCCCGAGGACGCGATTTGCCTTGCGAGAGCTCTTTCACAGGTCTCTCCCATTCTCCCGTTCTCGGAGCAAGGCGTCTGTATGGAGGACAGGACATTACCATCTGCCTTCGTGTGATTCGCACATGGTCCTCGACACGTCTTTCGACAATTCATTCATATTAGGAAGCACAAAAACCTTTATTTCTGCAAGGCTGTTGAGTCTTACTGTGACACTACTTTTCGTTAGCAACCTTATGGATGGAGATATCGACAGCCTGGATCATCAAGGCAGGGCCCATTGTACATTGTCGCGTTTGCACGGCCCTTTCTCTTTCCCAGGTGTAGTTCCGTCATCCTCAATCCACACGTGCCTAACACAATCCTTCTTATCTGTGTTCTGCTCCCCATGACAACTTCATTGAGAAGAATCCCGCGCATACAGTTCAGTTTCGCGAAGTAGATGATCGAGGAAGCACCCCAGTTTCGACATCTGAAGCCTACCATCCCTCGACCAGGTTCAGCGGACCGGGTATCCCTCCGTATGCCGAGTTCGAAGAGAGACGCTTCGAACCCCAGTAGAAGGACACGACTGAGGAGGGCTATTTGTTCTCTCCTCACTTGCCGCTCCACCTCCGGAACCTGCAACCACGTTCCAATATAGCCGGTCCTATTTTATGATATGTCCTCGTCACGCGGAACCTTGACATGCTCAACCCCTCTTAGAGACTTACGCTACGAGGCAATTAAGTCGGCCAGGACTCGACGACGAATATGTTTGTGGCGTCAGTTTGAGGGCGTGTATGGTTGGGGAAGGACCTCGATGAAGGCTGGCATTGAGTGGCCGGCTCCCAGTGAAGCACGCACGCCTCCATACATATGAAAGAGGGGTCTGGCAAATATTTCAGCGATACTTATCCGTGTGCGGAGCATTCTCCACCTAAGAGGGTAAGTCTACCCTTCGACGGTGACTCTGGTTGATTAGCGGGCATCATATTCTACGCAGTATTAGTCCGTGGTCTGTCCACTAGAGACATCTATTTTAACCATCAAGGTGTTACCCTTGCCGTTCATACATAAATCGCAATTTCCAGGATGATCTCAGGGGTTCTCCTTCCTGTTTACGAGCTCCATCTACGTTCAAGAGCTACGTATGAGGGACGGAGTCGTGCGAATGGGACTAGCTGACTACTGTCACTATCATACCACGTTCTTCAGGGAGAGGTGATATTCCCAAACATCTTTCTCATCAAGGATTTTACAGAGTACTGGCCAATTATTTGAGATCAGTCAGGGAAGCGGACTGTTTTTCATCTCTTCGCTAACGCGAGACTCTCTCACCCGGAAAACGAATGTACGGCACCCGTTAACAGACATTTCTTTACTTCTATCAGTGGCTGAATACAGTGCGCATGGGTCCTTCACGATGGAGCGTTGTCGACTCTGTAACCGGATGATAATTTATTCCTCTCCACAATGCACATGGAACAGATTCTACCCTCTCCACATATCCCATGAACTCAGCTTGCGTGTTCTCCAGTTCTGACTCCCTGGATTCGCTTTGTGTCCTGTCGACATTCCCACCTTATGTAGGTGCCAGAACCTACCATATCGCCTGCACGTATATTTCATACGCGACCCCACCACACGACTTTATATTTCAAAGATACCTAGCAAGAGACGAGGAAGGAATTTACACTGCGCACATTAACTACCATGCTAGCAGTCATTTCATCCCTTGCATCCAATATCGGCTGAGTGCTCAGTTGTCTGCCTTTACGGTTGTGGTTTTCTCCGTCGACAGCCATCCCGTTGAAAGAAAATCGTGATGGGAAGGCAACGAAATATCTACCGGTGAACATGTTTTTGTCATCGTGTCTTGTTTACGGCGAGAGCTCATGTAGATCTTCTTCTCCTCGTAACCAGATGATCGTCCCAGGTTCGTAGAGCGGAGGCCGCGAGATGATCTACATGCACCGGCACATTCCTTTCAGCTAGATGTGCCGGCGATCCCTTTGTTGAATAACTCTGAGTCACGGTGCGAATCTTGAGGGGCATTTCGTATTGATCTTTTCAGCACCTCGCACTGGATGAGTCGGTTATCACCCTCTCCTCGGTGCATATGATATTATCGTTCATCAGCTCATAGTCCTCTTCTCTTTGTCAGCCCTGTAAAGTTATTTAGCTTGCTTCTTTTCAAAATTCATGGTATGGCTGTAGTCCTGACATACTATATATGCAATATGTGGTTGTATGGCGGAGTTACTGGCAAAATTCAGAACCTGAATCATTGATCATTTCGAACCAAGTTCGAATAGTATACTGAGGAGTAGTAACTTACTGTAAGTACTCATGCACTCATGAGTCGCGGCTGAGGAGCAGTGACTGAGGGACCATCCGGCGTCCAACAGATGGAAAAATAAGAGTCACTCTCTGGCTGGGAGTCGAACCCAGCTTTCGCGCGAGATGTTACATATGGGGAATGACAGGCGCGTGTACTAACCGATATACTACCAGAGAATAGGGTGTTAAATAGGCGCTATGGTCCTCTGCCGCCCAACACCCTATTAGCGGAGTCGACCAATGATAACTATTTCACTATTTTTTATCCTTAGGTATAATGCGAGTTGGATAGACTCTTGTGATGTTTTGCAAACTTTTCCATGCGCATGGGTTGAATATGTAAAAGGGACTCGAAGTACGTAAAATTCGTTGACTGACAAGTTTGAAGTTTATCCAGATACCTTACCCCCAGCCCACATCTATTCTAGATTTCCCATTGTTCCTCAGTCCAGTCGCGTTCTCGGAAACGGGTCACAGTTCATCCTCCTCTGGCTCATTTTCTATACCAGCAGATCAGTACAGGAAGACATGCATGTACGAATTGAAGGACGTGTATGTGTGCAGTAACGGTCTGTTCACTATCGACCAATTCTCGTCCGATGCTTCATGAGCGGGTAGAAGACAGTATCTGAGTGATCATTTGTGCTTTCTGATTCAGCAGGCGAAGTTCCGAGGTGAGCTTTCGTTTATTCTTTTATCTCTAGTATCTGCACCCTTGCTTCATCAGAAATCGGGGGCAGACAGTGTCGGAATATGACTTGGATATGAAGGGACGCTGCAGAGGGCCCCACTGCCGTGTCCTCCTCGTGAAATGTACTAGATTTAGGATTCAAAGATGCCATGCCACCGTCGACTTGGATCAAACGCTCCAGAGCTGAAGCCAGCGTCCCAACTACGGTGACAATGTTCATTCTGAATAATGCTGCGCCCCGTGTTCATTCAGCCATCTCATATCTGAGGTTTGAGACCCGCAAGCGCCAGAAGTTGTACGATGCCGAATGAGGGACCAGAAAGCTCCACAGTGAGGACAACGCCTCATATATATCGCACAAGGATTCTGATGGAAATCAAGGTGCCATCTATGTGAAGGACTACACAACGCCGAAGGTATACCGTATCCCCTCTCACAACGAACTGAAGAGTCTCGTGTATTCTCGCTTGTTCCTGTAGGCAAAGCTGGCAGATGCTCCATGACAGACCCTCAGACATTGGGCACTGTTTGTCCTTTTTCGTTTTGGCCTCGATTCGTCTTCGTATACCTTTAACATCGCTTCATGGTGCTTGCTGTCCTCCAAGCGGTTCCCACCTTTAGATCTTACTGCTTGTGGAGATCACGTCGGATTCTTGTTATGATTACCTTGCACCAGACGAACACTCTCTACTCTTGGTTCTGAACGACGAACAAGAAAAGGGATGCTGTATACCTTATTCGCGTCTCCAACTGGGAGTCGACCCTAGAACGTTCAACCGATACACCCGAAAGTCTCATTACCTTCTCACTATTCTCATGTAATAGTATATCGTGCTCCCCCAGTCGCCTTTATCCGGCTCATGAAGAGGCTCGCCTCAATACATATGCTGGTGCTAGTGCTATCTGTAGTTCAGTGGCTTGCGCCCGTGGAGGCCAGTCGGACCACCCCTACAACATCAGGTTCATGCCACAAATGCCGAAGGACTTGCGCATCTAGTCCAGTTCCGTCGTCCTCACTATCCACCTCGCTGAAATTCGCCACATGGAGTTCCAGCAATGCACAGACACAGACCACAAACGTTTCTACGGTCGCAGGCCTGTGAGGGTATGTATTTCTTTTTACGCTTCGGCGCGGTAATGCTACAGCAACAAGAAACTTTCAGACGGAAGGATGGGTTACCCTCGCGTGCGTATACCTTAGAGCTATCCTGGCGTGTTGTACCATATCCCCACTGCCATCCTCAGTTTTAGGTGTTAACTCTCAGTGTAAAAGTTGACCATGGCGACTTCTCATTGGGACTATGTACCAGTCCACAAACTCTATGTATTCAGGTTCGACTTCACTTCGCCGCAATAGCACCTAGTTTAACCGGGATCCACTGCACGCCTAGGGATATTCTCTGCATTGTTCGATCTATAAGCACATGTCTCGCGATCCGCCGTTCTTGTTCATGGACATATAACGTCTTTCTCACCTGTACAACCCCAAGTGCTTGACACTCCACTTAACTGTTTCAAAGACCATGATTTACTTCGTGGATATAACTGCGCCGCTATGAGTACCAGTCAGAGCATGACCAAGGTTGCTTGACGCGCTCACTCTTCATGGGCTGGCATTGTCCCTCGAATACTCTCTTCTCTTTACCAACTAATACTGGTAATTGGATTACATCGGCTTCCTTTTCGTTCGTTCGTTGGTGAATTAGATCCTGTGTGGGTGGAAAAAAAGAAAAACTATCGCCCAGATTTGAACCCTTAATCCTGATTTCAGTGTTCACCGTGTACACTAACCAATGTACTATCCGTGGACTAGACAAGGCAAATTATCATTAAGTATACGTCGCGTTTTGAACTAAACCACACCTACCTTGCAGTGCCCAATAGGGTCGAGATCTGAAATAGTAAGCATGGAATGAACAATGGATAAACCTCGAAGTTTTGAAGAAGGAAAATTCAATACTGAGAAAAAGAATTCGACGCCTCCACTAAGTAGGATAAGTCCCTCACTGGGAGTCGAACTCAGCGATCGTAACACGTGCATGTAAGTTACGTTTCGCGCTTCGGGCTCGAAGTTTCAGCCAGTCCGTCACGATTTTCTCTCCATTTTTTCTCTCTCTATGCAGCCCCGGCGCGTTGATGCAGGACGATTTGGTACTATGGGCTGTAGGGATATGAATGCATAGAGCTTGGAGGGACAAAGGTGCGTGAATTCTAACAACTGCAGCGAAAAAGGCAGCGCTTATCCATGCCACCTCGAGTTCTAATCAGGATCCAGGCAGCGTTTCTTCGATTTTCAAGATTTACTCACGTCGCAACACCGTGGCTGCCATCGATCCGAGAATGGGCCTGTTTCTCCGGATCCTTGAAGCATTGCGACTCCACTGTGTTCGATAGCCAATGTCTCAGCTTCATGTTGATTACGCATAATGCATAATCATACACAATGTTTGCTGTCGTTGCCGCCTGACCCAGCAGACGAAGCCTCTCTCCGCGAAGTGTTGCATCCCAGTACTTGGCTGTTCATTAAATAAAATTTCTGAACGTCAATTTTCGGGACTTGGTTGGACTTTTTCATGGTTGTCCTTACTACACTATTGGGCATCCTCAATTCCATGTATTCAAAGGGCCGATCGTGGATATATGTGTGCGATTAGGACTAGCTGGTATACTCGCCCACACATGTTGTCTTCAATTCGGAACCAGCCACTAGCTAACAAGGATTTTTCAAACTCATTCTCGTTGACCAGCCTTCTATCATGACTGATCCACGTTTCTTCCGTCGGTCTTAGCAGTATAGCAATGCTTGTACCCTTCGTCTTGAACGAGTATGGGTCACGTCCACATATCTAAGAGGCATTTCTGTACGCTCTTCTGTCAACTTTCAATCACAACTATTTATAATTCATCTGATACAGTGTCCGCAGGCCTCGCTACTTGTCGAAACCAAAATTTAGAAAATGAAACCTATACGCAAGACGGGCAACCAAAAGTTCTTTCAATGTTACAACCACGAAAGACATGCGTCTTAACAGGCTTCGCTTAGAGACCCACGTTGATGGGGGTACAGCCTAAAACAATGAGGCCATTCTGTGCCGGTTGGCAGTCAGTTCTGACGATCTCCTCGAACATGAGTTGTCAATACTCACGTAGTTATTACCCGTGCAGCATGTGGGCTGGTTAACACACTGGGTAGTCCCAAGCCCGATTGCGGTAATGGGGTTGCAAGTCAGCCCACTGACAAACATATATCAGCCTTGAACCGCAGATAAGAAATACACAATTACACTTGGCCGGTAACGCTTCCGATTGGGATGTTGAGAAGACCGAGGAGGGTCTGAACCGGCGAGGATGTGGACTGGCGTACGTTGTTAGCGTCAGTATTATCTTCCGCGGTGCGCAATGCTTTTGGACTTACACTCTGGACAGACTTGCAGCACTCGAGGGTGCCGGTGTTGCAACTCCCTCCGCTGACGGTACTGGCTGGAAGCGCACTGGCCATGGCAAGAGCTGAGAGGGCGAATATACGAGCGAACATTATATGATGTGCGTCTGCTTGAGTGTGTGATTTGTAGCTTGTTGATGATAATGATTGACCGACTCTTAGTCCATTTTATACCCCTCCTGTTCGCTCCGCCGAGGAAAATAAAAATATCTCGATGCGACGGTTGACCGACAGAACGGTTGGGGCGCCCTGGAGAGAACGACGGGCGCATGATATTCTATTTTTTCCTACCGCTCACTGTCTTGAGGTTATCCAAATACAGAACTCGTGATACACAACTGACAGCGATTATTGAGGCTAGTACCTGCACGTTAACGAGTTAACGATACACAATCCTCCATTTACGGCACACTATACTACGAATGGTATGACTCTCTCAGTTTCATAGATGACAATAAGGGGAGTGCCCTGCTGCCTCGATCGTGACGCCGCCACTCCCAACGCCGCCTCCGTTCCATGCTGCACCTAGGTCTCAAGTTGTGCATTACCTCCAAAGAGTACGCGGCGACATATCTTTTCCCTTAAACTAACATCTAGCGGAGATGAAATGCTGGGTAGGGCAGTTTCCCGGTCGTTCCTGCTGTAATGAAGAGGAGATGACACTACATCTGGGTCCTCGGTGAAGTTTTGAATCTACAGCGTTTGATTGCTCGAAAATGTGGGCATCTGTGTTCGTCCATTTTTTGTGTGCTTATCTACTTCCAGGTTGCAATAAGAAGACAATAGAGCTCAAAAAAAGGGGGGGGGGTGGATTTCGGATTATCCGTTCTATGGTGTTTTCATATCAGACCTTGGCGAGGGGTATATCCAATCCTACTACAACATGGCAGATGTTCGGTGCTGCACTGGAGGTGGGAGATAATGTTGTCTGCTAGTCGCTCCGCCGCGGAGGAATAGCACTAACCGTATGGTGGTAGCTTACCCTACTGCTATTGAAGCAACAACGCGCTTCTGCTTCCACAGCTCTGCCGGGAATCGAACCCG